ATTTTATTATTACTGTATATTGATCCTGTATATATATATATATATATATATATATATATCTGTAACTCTCACCTTGTTACTCTGTCTGTTCTCCTCTTTAGTGCCCTCAGGAAATGCTCGCTCAGAGCGTCTTGGCAGAAGTGCCTGGCCAGGTGACGAGCTTCTTCAATACCATGAGACTGCGACCACCCCATGAGGACACACCGGTCACTGACCACTCAGCGTCAGCCCCCCCTGTGGATGTATCCTGAGGACCAGCTTTTCTCCTGAGTATGCCAACTACAAATGCACTTACAACCCAAACTCTTGCATGGCGAGCATGCAACATCCAGTCGTGTTAGGAGTTGTAAATACTATATAACATTACTATAAAGCCATAGTTCACATGTCCAAAAAATTGCTAACATGTACTTAACACAGATATTTAATGACTCAAGTGCCAGGATTGTTAACAATTTAAGTAATATCTTGTTTTATTGATCTGCACAGTTTTCTTAATTGAATTACCAATGTAACTTGTGACACAAGCTCTTTGTTTTTTGTGGAACATTTGAGGCAGCTAATAACAGCCATCTCATTTGTCCGTCATAATGTCTACATGAAACAGCTGAAGCACTTAATGTGTTCTCCATATCATTTCCTCCAGTGTCTACATATTGCAATGATCACTTGTTTGTTGGTTTTCAGAGTTTCATGTTTCTCTGGGAAATTCTATTTTCATTGAAACATAGACCTTGAACAAATATATAGCTGTACCAAATACAGTGAAGTCAAGTTTACAAAATATATCCACATATAATGGATTAATGCATTTGTTTAAATTTTTATCTTTTGTAGATTTTACACTACAAAGGCTATTATGTTGTGTCCTTGCTGCTGTTTTCTACTAAAGTCAGTTTCTGTTTTTATACTGAATATCACATTTGATTTGACTTACTGTTTGGTGCTTCCCTATGGGTGTTAAACATGGAGAATCCCTAGAATTCATTATCATCAGTATCCATGGGGAGCTTGGTAAAATGCACGTTTACACAAATGTACATTAGACTCTGTCTTAAAAAGAGGTAGTAAAACTAATTTTACTGACTTTCATAAAAATGGTCTAATACATTCACTATACATGTATATGTATTTGTTTTACCAATCACTGTGGCTTTGCCTTATGTAACATACTTTGACTGATTTTATCCGTATTTTATGTAAATATGATTTCCAGTGCAAGAAAAAAAGT